TTCTTCTCACTTCACTGATTTTCACTTCCGCTGTTTGGATTCAAGGTGGTGTGGTTGAGTAGGTGAATCGGAGCTCTTCTTCTTCTAATCAGTTGCACAAGTTGACCTTTCTCGTTCAAGCTCCATTCCTTCTCTTTTTCTTCTCCGTTCAAGTTCCCGGAAGCTCGGAAATCTTTGCCCGAGGTAAGGGAAGCTAGGTCTTGCTGATTTTGGTTGTGAACGAGTTCTAGGAACTCAAAAATTGTTGGCTGATGTTACTGATTTTTGGTTGAAGTGCTGAAAATGAACTTTGGGGTTTTTAGGGTTTTTGATGAATTTTGGGTCTCTCACTTGTTTCATGGTTGCATGTGTAAAAAGGAAGTGTTTTTGAACTGTTGGATGAAAATGTGGAGTTTTGAACCGATTGCATGTGTTTGAATGACTTGATTTGTGCAGGTTTGATGAAATTTTTGAACTTGGGGAAGCTGCTGTTGAGCTTCGCGCTAGGCGCTATTCTTCGCGCCGGGCGCGAGACCACCAGGAGACTCCATTTGAGCAATCTCGCCGGGCGCAATGATGTATGCGTCGGGCGTGCTTGGAAATGAGAGTCTCTGGCTGGCCCTCGCTGGGCGTGACTTGAACTGCGCCGGGCGCGATGACAGTTGTGGCATATTTTGGGTTATCTGGTGCTGCGCTGGGCGCGAGTTTTGTCGCACTGGGCGCGGAGACCCCTTGGGGGTCTCTGCCAGAGGGGGCGCCGGGCGTAATTTGAAATTGCGCTGGGCGCGAGACCTTGGTAGGTCTTTGCCTTTCCCATGCTGGGCGCGGGTTAGGCCACGCCGGGCGCATGAGGCCCCTTGAGTCTTTGTCTGGCATGCGCTGGGCGCAATTGGGTATTGCGCCAGGCGCGTGAGAGCCTTGGGCTCTCTGGCTGAGGTATGCCGGGCGCGAGCACGCTTGCACCGGGCGCGCTTGCCCCCTGGTGCCTCTAGATGTGCCACGCCGGGCGCAACCATGGGTGCGCCGGGCGCGCACGAGGATGTTGACTTGATGTGCTTTTAGCTGTTAAACTTTGCTGAAAATTGCTGAGAAAGGTTGTTTTATGCTGAACTAAGCTGAATTTGATGATATGCTGTGCTGATTAGTTGTTGATGCTGAAAATATGATGTTAAGCTGTGATAAATGTTTAATGTTGTGCTGAGCTGGGCTGTTACTGATGATTTTCAATGATGTCTTATATGATATTGTTGTGCTCTAGAATGATGAGCTGAGTTGTGAGTAGTAAGCTGTGTTGAATACTACTTAGCTGTGTTAAATACTACTTAGATGTGTTGTATGCTGATTTGCTGTGCTGTGCTGTATACTGATGTGCTGTGCTATGCTATGAAATGCTAAGTTGTATGCTGTTATAGCCGCTATGTCGATGTTGTTATAGCCACTATTG